ATCAGGTATGATGACAGTTCCTTTATCAGGTGTGGTGATAGTTCCTTTATCAGGTGTGGTGACAGGTCCTTTATCAGGTATGATGACAGTTCCTTTATCAGGTGTGGTGATAGTTCCTTTATCAGGTGTGATGACAATTCCTTTATCAGTTGTGGTGACAGTTCCTTTATCAGGTGTGGTGACAGGTCCTTTATCAGGTGTGATGACAATTCCTTTATCAGGTGTGGTGATAGTTCCTTTATCAGGTGTGGTGATAGTTCCTTTATCAGGTGTGGTGACAGTTCCTTTATCAGGTGTGGTGATAGTTCCTTTATCAGGTGTGGTGATAGTTCCTTTATCAGGTGTGGTGACAGGTCCTTTATCAGGTGTGGTGACAGGTCCTTTATCAGGTGTGGTGACAGTTCCTTTATCAGGTGTGGTGACAGGTGTGGTGACAGGTCCTTTATCAGGTGTGGTGACAGTTCCTTTATCAGGTGTGGTGACAGTTCCTTTATCAGGTGTGATGACAGTTCCTTTATCAGGTGTGGTGACAGTTCCTTTATCAGGTGTGATGACAGTTCTTTATCAGGTGTGGTGATAGTTCCTTTATCAGGTGTGGTGACAGTTCCTTTATCAGGTGTGGTGACAGGTCCTTTATCAGGTGTGATGGCTAACAAGACATTACAATTTCTTTACCTGGTGTGATAGTTCCAACAGAGTGAATGATCCCTAATTGAAACGTAGATGAGGTTGTTAGCATGTCCTAATGTTTCTGTAGGTCATTAATCTGAGGCAGCATGGAATTAGCTGACGCAGACCTATAAAACACCCAATGGATTGGTGAAATATTTATAAGGCTGTAGTTGTACAAGTTACAGTATTGATTTCCTACTTATAAGTGGTGTTGTTGGTGGCAAAGCACTGCCGATCAGTGCCATGTGTAATGAGTGGCATCGTAGAGCAATAGAGCAGGGTAAATGCCACATTATTTATACCACTGTAGCAAACACTACAAAGACATTCCCTGACATATTTTTCAACCAAAGAATTTTTTTTTTTTTTGAAGTCCCATCAGACTGTTTTGTCACTGTTTGGTAAAAACACCAGAATTTTCCTTTCATTACCGATATTGATTTTTTCACGTAACATAAGAAAATTTTCAAACAATGGAAATAGATTGCATTGATGGTTTTTATTCAGTGCCTTTAATTGCAGAGATACTTGTCTACTTGACTTTTACACCTGTGAAATTGACATCCTTATGCATAATTAACATGGTCTGGGGAAAGGAAAGAAATATGACACAAAAGACCAAAGACCGAGAACTAGTATCATGGGACTTGTACAAGTCTAGCATCCACGTTGGTAAACATTAGCTGTTCCATTGTCAATAATTGATGTTGGAATACTGAAAGAGCCATATTTTGGTTTCACTGCAACTATGAGATAGTATAGTGCTTGTGCCATTAGGAGTTTATTTAGGCGTGATAACGGCAGCATATTGATCTCTAGTCGCTTTACAATTTGACATCACAGTTATTGTGCTACGGATATTGCTGTATAGGATGTCCCTAGTGTGTGGATGTTTATGATAGCCAGGGGACCAAGGGTAAACTACCTGTGGTCGTTTTGTCTGTGAAGAAATCAGGATGGTCACGCAGAAATCTAATTACTTTAAATCTCATTGGCAATTTTAGAAACTGCGGATCATGATATTGCAGGTATTTATATGTTTGTTGTACTGGGTTACATTAGCTTTGTGTACTCAGAACTTTTAAAACTCTTTTTTATTTCATGCACAATTTGTCTTCGCAATTATGATGGCAATCATTATTGGAAAAATTGACCAGTCTGGATGTGCAATCATTTCTGTAAAGTAGGATTTGATTGGATCATCGAGATAATCTATTATAGGATGGTTAGGTTTAAAATGATGTGGAAGATATATGGGTAGAGAGGTAGATTGATGATATGCATGAAATTGTAATTGTTTTTATGTCTCTGTTGGGGGGGGGATATATAGGTCACAGTTACTATTTATAGAAATTTGTCCAACATTTATACTTCATACTAATTTTTAAGGAACAAGGGCATTCATATCTTACAGACATTTCTAGTTTGTATAAAAAATTTTAATGAATTAGCCAAAATTCTGTATTCTGAATTTTAAGTAAGAATGTCCTGAATCTGTTCTTTGACTGAATGCTTTTTTATTTAACTTTTCCAGATAGGCATTCAGTGTAACAGATCTGTAAAAACTGTTTTTTATTTAACACAAAGGAGTATATATAAATTTGCAGTGTAACCCTGTTTAATGGGCACCCTATCATCTACACAGCAGTACATCTACAAATGGAGGCAGCAGTTAATTCAGGATAATCAGACAGATAATTACTAAACTTTACTATTCAGTGGCAGAGCTGTTACTTAAGTGGAATTGAAAAATCTTAAAAGATCTTGAAAATTTTGAGTTTCAGTTAATTAAATGCTTTCCTACATAGATCTAATATTTTGTATTAAGATGATGTTAAAACAAAATTACGACCAAATTGTAGAATTTGGTAATTTGCCTACTTTTCAGATGACAGGGGATAATTTTAAATGTTGTTTTGAATAAGCACACTAACCAGACTTTGTCCCTAGTCTTGTATAATCCTTCACACAGCATACATATCAGTTATAAACGAAGAACACATTGGTCTACCTTACAGTGTCTGTTCCTCTTTATCTACAGGGATATACACTCAGTTTGGAGTCCTGAAAGCATATCACTAGATCTACTTTCACTTTGGTCCCAAATAAAAACAGAAAATTGTTTTGTTGGTGAAGATTAAAGACCCATTTTGGAGCAATCTGGGCTACATTGACCTTGCTTTTCTGGTCGGCAAGGGTCACATATTGTTACTGTGTTTTTGTCCTGAAAACTTTTAATTTAGCTGTCTGCCTGTCGTAATGCAGTAACTGTACCCTATCTGTGGGTGAGTGGAAGGGGGGAGTTATCACTACTCTGACCCGTAACACACACCAGGGCTGTTTTGCCCATATGGAATCCATTTGGTACAGCTTACAACAAAAGACTCTTAGAGCAGTTTTAATTCATATGTCTCAACTACTGGGAAAGCTCATACCACTGTAGCAACACACTACTCTTACAGAAATTGTCTGCAAATCATTGAGCTCTATTTTACACTCTTTAAAATTTTCATCAAGCATTTTAAAAAGCAGATCTAATTATGAATATTTTTTTTAAATGTTTCTGTTGAAATCATGACATTCTACCAGCAAATTTTGGGATAAAAAAATATTTCAAATTTTTTTCCTGTCTTTGTTTAACTGCTTTAAAAGAAGGTAGCATACTGGGTTTGGTGAAACATAACTGAAAATTTCAACATTTTGAAAATATTTCCTTTCATTGTTCTTACGAAGGTGATTGGATTAGCTCCCACCAACAGCCCTGTGAGGTTAGTGATCTCCTGCAGTGGTTTGTTTTCATATAGCTTCACCAGGAATGAAGCAGCAGTGCCTGTATTAGCCCTGTGGTGGTGTAAGAGATGCTTAACTAACCACATGGTCTGCTGGTGAAAAAAAAAAAAACATATATTCTCCCTCATAAGCCAGCGATATTACTACGGCTTGGTGCATCACTCATCGAACTTACTGAAGTTGAAAATTTGAGCAATTTGGATTGTAATGGAAGCCGATTACGGGTTGATAGAACAGAGCAGGATGTCAGGGAGACCACATAGTTTTACTTAATAACAAGAGAGTTACCGGTCCATTGACGTTGGATTGGTATAATTCGAGATATGTATTGATGTGTGGCAAAGCAAGCCCTACTGTATACACATATCCTCACACCAATTACTACTTGGCTCGGCAGTTCTCACCATTCATTAGCTGAAGGCCTTGAGCATTTAAAAAGTGGTGCCTGCGACTGGGCAACAAATTGTGGATAAGATCCGTTGGATGATGTAAGGAAATTCGTTGATGTGGTAATTGTTTTTATTTATAGGTAGTCGAAACATCGTTTGTAGCCTGTATATATATAAATCGGTATAACAAAGGGTCATCAGAAAGCATGTGTTGTTCAAGCGTCTGGTGTGGTTGAGAAGAAGGAGGAACCCTTCCCAGGAGGGTTAATGGAGGCTTGTTGCAAGACAAAATTTCTTGTGTGTGTAATGGGTAGAAATTGATCAAGTGTGTTTTACACCTTTGATTGCGGAGATTGTATATGGATTATGAAAGCCTATATGTGAAGCTTGTGATCCTGAGGGAGTGGGAATGAGGTAGCAACAGATAGGCTGTTTTAGATGCTAAGTAGATAATACGTGTTTATTTTGTGTTTTCTTCTGTGAAGTCAAATTGATGATCGGGGAATTGCTGTACCGCTTCTTGTTCACACTCTCAAATCTCCAGGCTCTCCCAGGTTTTATACAACCCTATCTGATAACCTTAGCCAATCAGTAAAACAAATCTCCGTGTGGAATTTTATTAGAAAATATTTACCCGAAACATAAAATGTTTTCACACATTGTACAATTTTCTTTGTACTTTTCGTGGGATTGATGATGTTTGAATCATAAAGATAGCTGTGCTTGACTCCTAGCTGTCTTCTGTGACGCTGTCACTCATTTCTTCAGGCATGCTAACAGTCTGCCTGGGGCTAAGTACGTCAGGGAGTGATTGGTTTCGATGCCAAATAGTTGGATGTCGTGCTGTGGCATACTATTTCGAGGTGAAAATTCAAACCTCTTTTTGCTACAAATGACCTCGTATATCTGCCTACAAGTAAATGGTGAAAATTGTTCGCGGGGTCATTATAATGAAAACTTTTAGATATTTATGATCACTTGCATATTTTTTCCTCTTTCTTTTTCATAAGTGTCATTCTAGGTTTTTGAATCTTTTTTGATGATAGTACTTGCAATTTGGATTCATACTTCCAAATAAATATATTTACCTTTGCACCATCACTGATGATATGTCATTCCTAAATTTTTCTGTTTTTCTGTATTTGTCAGGTTTGGGCCAGGGCTCTAAGCCGCCTCCCTTGACAATGATAAGCCCAGCAGGAGCCAAGCTATCTAGGAACACTGCCACTGTGCCACCGCTGAACCAAGTATCTCCTAGCAACGGCGTCACGTCTATTGGAGCGAACGCCGCACTCAATGCCACAAGGACATCAAGTTTTGCTGCAGCTCTTCGTAAGCTTGCCCATCAGGCAAAAGATCCAGGTAAATTCCTGAAACTAATTTCATGACCTATATGTATCCATCATTAAATCTACCATAATCAGAGCATCCGTGGATTAATTTAGAATTTTGAGAATACTACCAATTGAGGAAAAATGGGAATCTTTGGTCTGCTTTGAGAAATGAAGAAATTTCGCATTGTCTTTTTGGTCAGAATTCAAAACTGGGACAGCCTTCTGTTATAATTTTCCTTGATCAAGAAATTAACAAGGATTGGTATTGTTTTGATTTACTGAATGCTTTGATTAGAGAGAAAATATATTGGTTATTTTTTTCCTTATATATAGATAAAGCCTTGATATGTTTTTTGTTACTGTCTGACATGATACAAGGAAAATATTCCTCACCGAGGTACTGATAGGTGAGGACTTCAGAGAAGTTGGTATAATTGAAAGTCTGATTGGTTTGTTAGTTGTTAGTTGGGTTTATTGGGTTGTTGAGACAGGGTCGCCTTCTAGAGGCCGGTGACTACCTCAATGAATAACATATGGAAGGCCCATCTCATCCCCAGCAATTAGTGTGTTTTTTTTCTCAAGGACCTGGCCATGACATCTTAGACTGGTCAGTTTCCAAACCAACGTGTGGAGAACGTTGAACCTTGTAACATGTAACAGTGGATGTTTCCGTTTCTAGTTACATAGTTTAACACTCTACAGACTGAACTTATGAGGTCGCTTGAAAATAATTGTATCTACATCTATCAAAAATTCATGAGCATGAAAAAGTGATGAAAACAAACCAAATGAACTTGTGACACGGTATCGACTTTTTAACATACTTATCTGTGGGATATATAAATGTTTACAATAAATACAATATCAGGTAAATTGTTTATAGAAAATTTTTTAATTTATAAAAATCTTTTATATTCCTGGGGCGTAAACATTGATCCAGATTACATATAGATAGACAAAGAAATGCCCAGGATCAAAAGAACCTGAAATCCATGTGTTTTATGTTTGTCGTCCTAATCATAAAATCTTCTAACAATAAACGTTCGGAAAAAAACCAAGATAGAAGGTTGAGAGACAACTCCGGAGGATAATTAAGTGGAAGTATCCAATCCGCATGTTACAGATCAATGGCCGACATCTGTATCACTTTTTGTATGATGTTTTGTGTATTCTAAGCTGATACATCAAACACTACTGTTACAATGTAGACCTGAGTTATCTCGTCTACCATCACCACTTATCTCAAACCTGGAGGTGGATTTTGTCAAATTTCATGGAAGTCTTACTGATATTGACAAGTAGGCCTGTGTGTATATATATATGTATTTATGCATAGCTGGTTTTCCAACAGAGATGTTAAAAGTCGTGACCTTTATTATTGGTTTAGGTTTTGAGTCTAGAAGTGGGAGAATTAGTTCTGGCTTATAGAATGATCATCTCAGAGCTCTGAATAAGTTGTGGTTTTAAAGGTGATGGTTTACCTCAGTGATAGAGAATTTCAGAGCTAGAGGATTACATCCTGGTTAAGATAGTAGTAATCTCAACACCTGAATAAGTTGTGGTTTTAAAGGTGATGGTTTACCACAGTGATAGAGAATTTCAGAGCTAGAGGATTACATTCTGGCTTAAATAGTGGTAGTCTCATCACCTGAATAAGTTGTGGTTTTAAAAATGATGGTTTACCTCAGTGATAGAGAATTTCAGAGCTAGGGGAATCTAGCTAAGATAGTGATAATCTCAACACCTGAATAAGTTTGTCTTTGTTTAGAAGTTAATTGTCTGTTACGAAAGTAATTATGTTGTCTCAGAGTCAGGGGAAATAGTCCTGGTTTAAGTAGTTATAGTGTCACAGCGTGGGCTTTAGTCCTGGTTCAGATCATTTTAGTCTTAGAGCCAGGGAGTTTGTCCTGGTTTAAATAGTCATAGTCTCACAGCGTGGGCTTTAGTCCTGGTTCAGATCATTTTAGTCTTGGAGCCAGGGAGTTTGTCCTGGTTTAAATAGTCATAGTCTCACAGCGTGGGTTTTAGTCCTGGTTCAGATCATTTTAGTCTTGGATCCAGGGAGTTTGTCCTGGTTTAAATAGTCATAGTCTCACAGCGTGGGTTTTAGTCCTGGTTCAGATCATTTTAGTCTTAGAGCCAGGGAGTTTGTCCTGGTTTAAATAGTCATAGTCTCACAGCGTGGGTTTTAGTCCTGGTTCAGATCATTTTAGTCTTGGAGCCAGGGAGTTTGTCCTGGTTTAAATAGTCATAGTCTCACAGCGTGGGTTTTAGTCCTGGTTCAGATCATTTTAGTCTTGGAGCCAGGGAGTTTGTCCTGGTTTAAATAGTCATAGTCTCACAGTGTGGGTTTTAGTCCTGGTTCAGATCATTTTAGTCTTGGAGCCAGGGAGTTTGTCCTGGTTTAAATAGTCATAGTCTCACAGTGTGGGTTTTAGTCCTGGTTCAGATCATTTTAGTCTTGGAGCCAGGGAGTTTGTCCTGGTTTAAATAGTCATAGTCTCACAGTGTGGGTTTTAGTCCTGGTTCAGATCATTTTAGTCTTGGAGCCAGGGAGTTTGTCCTGGTTTAAATAGTCATAGTCTCACAGTGTGGGTTTTAGTCCTGGTTCAGATCATTTTAGTCTTGGAGCCAGGGAGTTTGTCCTGGTTTAAATAGTCATAGTCTCACAGTGTGGGTTTTAGTCCTGGTTCAGATCATTTTAGTCTTGGAGCCAGGGAGTTTGTCCTGGTTTAGAGGGTAATAGTCTTAGAGTTGGAGATTAAGTCTTGGTTTGGTGGTGATAGACTTAAAGTTGTATATCTTTAGGTCTACAAGATTTTTGTTGAAGACTTGTATCTGTGTACTGTACATTGTCAATTATTTTGATAATTCTGTGTGTTTTGTGTCACAGAAGAAGGAATTAGCAGCAAACACCCTACCACCCCTGGGAGCTCCAGCACCAGCCCACGGGCAGTCACACCAAAGCGAGGTCCCCCACCCTTGGTTTATAGCAGTCACTCCTCGTCACTAACTTCACCGCCCGTCGTCACCATAGCGCCCACACAGTCACACCCCACTCTCGTCAGCAGTGAGGCAAAACAGGTATGGTATTCAGAGTGACACTCATATATTCATATAGTGCTCCATTTCTTAAAGTGCTTGCTTGTTTTCACTTTTTCAATCATGGATGTCAAAGGTCAAGGTCATTTGTTATTAATTAAAAATTCCATCTCTGTGATTTTGGCTACAAGACAATGAATTTCACTTTTGTGGAATCCTTGTATATACATGAATGGAAATCACCATCTCTTCACATGTGCTCAAGAAATACTACCAGAGACCTGAATTACGTTCTTTAGAATTGTCTGTCTGATAAGAAAATGTAACTGACAGTGTTGAAATTGTCACTTGAAAGTAAAACCGAGATTAATCTGATGGATAGTTTACAATTGTTGATTTTGATTGAATTCAGAGTCTGGAACGGGCACACTCAGTACAGAGCACTGCTTCCTCTGTCTACGATCCGCTCAGCATCAAACAAGATCGAGATAGGCCCCAGTCTACTCACTCCAATCGCGACGATGATCGGGGGTCAATAAAGGACGGGGCTCAGTCACGAAGGTGAGATTGGAGTGCTTTGTAATGAATATGACACTGAAAGAATTAATAGAATAGAAGTTCATATCACACAACTTAGTGTGATGTTTTAAAAACTACATTATTACTTTCATCTGATAACTGTCCAGTGTTAAGGGTACTAGCACTGACATAATCTGATAAATGTCCAGTGTTAAGGGTACTAGCACTGACGTACGTAGTGTACGAGATGGTAAGGTATTGAAAACTTTTTCAGCTGTACTATTAGAAAATAGTGTGATAAGATGGTAAAAAGATTGTAGAAACAAAGTACACAAGATGGTTACAATGTACTGTAGTTGATTCAGCTACCAAATTTTGAAAAAGTTGATGCTTATTAATTTACACATGTGAAAATGGTAGCTATTTTTACAATGATTTGATGTTTCAGACCACATTCTGGTCACAGCTCAACATCTCCGGCAGCTAGCAGAGAGGACCTCGGTAGTCGTGGTTTTCAGCCGTATCGCCCAGGGGAAGATCTGCGACACCAATTGCCACCTACAATGTTCGGCCTTGACCCAACATCGTACCCCTACCCTACGGCCTTCATGCCATCTCACTTCCCTCACCCCGCCTTCAGGTAAGCAAAGAAGGTCACTCATTTTGTACCAGAAATGAAAAGAAAATAATAAGAAATAATCGTATGTTATCTGAAAACAGGATAATTATTTCTGTTCATGTTTCTGGGGGGTTTTTTTTGTTTGAATTAAAAAATATAATCCAAAAAATGTTTTGAAAATTGGAAATTTATTTGACTGTACATGATTGCTACATTATCAATCATATTTACGTGACAGCATCTTAAAAAATCATGTCGTATTGGTTCGGACATCTTTTTAGCAATTGCTATTTACAGCAAATACAGAGACTAGAATTTGACAAAACTTTTAAGTTGATTTCCTTATACATATTGTTTACATTTATACACGATGTGAAACATTCTCACTGAATCTCTGTTTATACATAGGTTTGACGACCCTGTGTTACTGGAGCGATACCGGATGATGCAGCCCCCGTACCTTCAGTTCCCCCACCCCGGGATGATCCCTCCCCCAGGGGTCCACCCATTCCTTGCTGCTGGCAGCAGGTACCCATCTGAGCTTCTTCATCAGCAGTTTGCATTTGGGTCCCAGTCGTCACGCCTCGGCGAACACATATCACCGGCCTTGTCTGAAAGGTATATATAGATATATCAGTAGGCTACCAAGATTTTTTTTTATTTTGATGGCATTGTAATTTTAGCTTTTTATATAAATTTATGTTCATTTGATTTAAATTATCGTTTTTTAATATATTTCTTGTCTCAGTTTATATAAAAATGTGTTTAGAGAGGCATGTCTGATTTGTCTATATTAACTGGTTCTCTTGTTAATAAGCTTTAATCATTTGTTTGTGCTTTGACTTGAACTTGACTTAAAGCTGTGAATATAATTCTTTTTATACAGACAACGATTAGAAGAAGAAAGAATAAGAGAGATGGAACGAGAGAAAGAAAGAGAACGGGATCGAGAGCGTGAACGAGAGAAGGAGCGCGAGGCAGTGTTGCAAAGAGAGAGAGAAAGAGCACGGGAGCGTGAGAAGGAATATGACAAAGAAAAGGCACGAGATTTGTACTACACTCACCAACACCAGGCAGAGCTCCGACTTGACCCTAGGGGACAGGACAGGGACACCAGAGGGCGTGGTGAGGGTCCACTTGGCCTTGCCAATCAGTCCCGCATGGCCAAGGCCGAGGACAGCTCAGGTAGGACACAAATAAGCAACAGCATTCTGATTCTGTGTTTTGTTGTGTTGAGATTAAGGTGAAAATTGCCAATTCAGGTATTTTAAACCACAATTCCTAGACTGTAAAGATTTTGAGTAAAACACATGCCAATTTAACTCAAAAGAATACAGGCTTGCTTAATAGCAAACTAAACATCAGTAGAGCTTCAAATTTTGTAACCTCAAAAATCTTAAGTGTATGGGTTCGACCCCTGCCCTAGGGCAAGAATTGTTTTTGTCTGGAAGCTAGGATCACAGACTAGAGTGTTCTGTTGGTGTTATATTCTTGGACAAGTAGTCCTTAATGTCTTTGACAGTGCAATGGGTTTTCAACAAGTTTTTCTCTTTGGTAGCTACCAGCTATTACAAGACGACTCTTGCTCAAACCGACCCTGTCTATTCATGACGCGAAAAAAAAAAAATTCAAACGAACAAATGATACTTGTGGTTAAGAGTTCCAAACATTTCCTGCTAGTATCTTTATTTGAACATTTATGTGACTACCTTACCAACCATATTTGGTGAAACTTTGTTGAAGTCTATTATTTAGTGAAGCTCTGATTTGGTTATAGGGTCTAAGTACAGTTCTATGATGCACGGGAGCCAGAGAGATATGTATGGAGACAGAACGGAAAAGGTACATCCGTACAATGACCACCCACCAAGGATGGAAGCCGAGAGGGATAAATATGGCCGTGAAACAAGTTACGATGACCGCAGGAAGTCAGACATTCATCCTCATTCCAGTGAACAATCCTTGCTCAAGGTGAGTTGTGTTGTATATAGATTTTATACGGACCCAGAGCATAAAAAATATTACTCTCCTTTAAAGGACAAATGAAAAAAGTCTGTATTTTTCTATTTTTAAAAGTCATTGATTTAGAACTTATGACATAAGAGAAAAAAAGTCATACGCAAATAAAAAAAAAACTTTTATAGAAAACATTGTGATACTAAAATCAATGTGATGTCATAGGCCTCTCAGAAAATGATTAAAAACCTCAATCTAGAAATAGGAAAATTCAATTTACATTGTGAGACTCACTCATACATACGTGTAGCCTAGTCAGAGTTCAGAAGTCTAGATCATATATGAACTACTTTTTGTAATTAATGACAAATATGAAAACAGTGACGACAAAAGGGGTTATGTTTTAAATTCTTTTTTTCAGAACATAGACAAACATGAGTTTGAGAAAAGAGCATACTCGTTAGCATTCGCAGACAAACAGAATATGGCAGACAAAGAACGTCACTCGTCCTCATCGCATCCTCCGTCATCCCAGTACTCATCTCTTCACCATGCAGATCTCGCCCACAAAGCCTCCAAAGACTTCTTCCGACCATTTGACACAGCAAACATTCTCACTAATGGCTTCAATGGCTCTCATGATTATGAAAAATACTCAGCTCACAACAGCAAGTCTAGCGAAAGGACAAGTAAGTCTCCTGCCTCCATGAGTCGCTCTAGTCTAGAAGCCAGTCAGGAGCGACGGGCCATACTCGAAGAATCCGTGTTGCATATTAAAAATCCACGGGACAGTCATCTGGCTCAAAGACGAATGTCGGAGGAAACGATGTGGCCAGGTCGAAAGTCTGGAGAGGAATCGTTACTACTGAGGTCGACTGAAGAGCTCCAAAGGAGATTCTCTGGTGTTGATCGTCGCAATAGGAGAACACCCGAAGAGGTGTCGTCTAATACAAGCCATAATGAATACAAAAATTTTCTGAACAATAATATTATAATGAACATGGAGAAAAATAATCAGGATTCTAAATCGTTACAGAAAGAAACGATGTCTGAATCTTCCAATTCCAATTTTGAACACAAAAATTCAACAGCTCTACCATCAACTTTTCATTACCCATACATGAAACATATCCACTCAGTGGTCAGCCGTCTCGATATGGAGGAAAGGAAACTCAGGGAGCAGCGTCTACGCAGCGACTACAACAGTGATGACAGCGACGTCGAATCAGAGGACGAGGAAATCAAGCGGCAACGACTTTTATTTATTCGTAGCGGACCTCCAATACCACTGGATACCTCCAAACCAAAGATAAAGTTTTTAAATCAACTAGGCCTTACATCACATCGAGTCAAGAGAGGTATGTATAAGTATGTTTGAAACTGTTGTATTCTGTTATAAGGCATGCCTGGCAATAAGCCCAATGTTATTTATTGTAGTTTTAATGGAAATGGCAACAGATGCTATATCATAATCCTGTAATAAGCCCTTTTCTCTACTTTGAGTCACTGGTAATGATATAGCCACTTGAGTTCCTGTAATAAGCCCATCTCATGATTTTGAGACAGAAGTACTTGTGTCCCCTTTGCTTATTGCAGGATGAAAACAGAGGAGATTACTCTCTTTGAACTAAATTTCAAGCAGAAAAGAAACAAAAAAAATACTAATTTGAAGAATTCATGCTTTGATTTAAACATTCATTCAGGAAGACAAATGGATGAGAGGCACCCTAACAGCTGATGTATTTTTTTTACATAATTAAAGAAGCTGACATGTACATGCTTTGTTTATATCTGTGTAAAGCTACAAACACTCATCAGGATTTCTCTTTAACTGTTGAACCCTTATCATGTTGGATAAATCAAACCCTAGCTTATTTCTGGGATTTTTTTTGTAATTTGAAATGTCACGTGACTGTTTACATACAGACTTGGAACATCAGAAGCAACGTAAGCGAAGGCGGTCTCTCCGTGAACGGAGCATTAGTCCGGTGCTGCTGGCAGATGGAGAATCGACCGAGGACTCAGCCCCAAGTCTCTCCCTCTCTCAGGATCTCAACTCTGATGCCCTTTGTCAGGAACAAGATTACCCAGAAAAATGCTCCTTCCTCAGCTCCATGAAGCTGAGCACCATCAGCCCAGACAAAAAGAAGGGTAAGGGACATAACTCTTGAAATATAAAAGATATATACTGTAGAAAAACATTCAGAGGAGAACCTGCGGTGTTTTGAAATTTGCCACAATATATCATGATACTACTGTTACAAACTAGTGAGATGTGGTTGAGAAATTGAAATGAACTTTTGCAACAGTAAAACCCTGATATACCACCCAAAATTTCAAAATTAAGATTATCTCTATTTTAATTAATTTGGTATTGAAAGAGCAAATCATAACAGTTTAGTGCCATTTTTGTGCACAATTTGAAGAATCTGAGCTACCTTGCTCAGGATTGGTGACAGCAGTTATATTAAAATCAGACAACCTTTTGGTATCACGCTCATTTTCATGACATGGGATGGGGGGAGAAATTTGCTGATGGCATATTGTGGTTATACTGCTACAAATTATTTTGATTGACCAATCAAATGTTGGTTTTAACATCTTAAATGAATTAAAATCTTCCATGGACAGCAAGAACATGTCAACTTTGGGTAAAACTCTCTCATGGACAAAACCTGTGAGCTGGTGTGTTAGCAACTGAGGTCAAAACTACTGTAGATTATGTTTTCAAAAAATCTTGAAAGTACATCAGAATTAGGACCTGAACTGATCATTCTTATACCGTAAGAAAATTTCTTGTTAACTGTTATACAGATTCAGCATACAGATATGGATTGGTTTGTTTTTTTTCTTTAAATAAGATTAATTTGGAAATTGACAAAATTTACATCTCTTCCGAATATTTAATGCTCAACTGAATTTGTGCATCCATAACCAGGGAAACTTCTGAAATTTCCTGAATTTTTCTTGGCATTCATATTTTGCGAAGTGCTGCAATTGGTTTGGCTGGTTGTGGCTGAATAATTTCTTGGGGGGTGATTTCTGGATGATATATGGCATGTATGCGAAAGTTTTGATAAATTTATGCTGACACAAATATAGTAAAGGTTTTTTGTGTGGTTTTTGTTTAAGTTTTAAATTCATATCATTAATATTTTTTTTCTAATTTCAAACTATCTATTTTTTTTTCATGATTAATTTACTTCATCCTTGAAAATAGGACAAAAAAGAACCCCCTAAAAAAATTTTAAAATGTTAACATGTACGGCCTTTTATTTTGTTGTTGTACATAAATTACCATCAATTATATAGCAGTTGTATTATGTAGATAAAAAAATGAAAATATAAGAACACCCAACAACATCTTCTTTATGTCATATTGGTACCAATTTCTTTTACACCGGAAGGTGACAGCTTTTCAGACTTTTGAGACTGTTTGCCCTCACTGTAGGAAAGAAGACTCCTTGTCAAGATAACAGAATATAAGTTAGACAAGGGTTTTACACTGGTTGTATGAATCAGTGTTATTTCTTTTTAACTTTGTTAATTTTAGGTTTAGAGTGAAATTATTGCACTCTGATTTCTGTAAGTTGAAATGTGTAAAGATTAGACTGGTTTAATGGATGATATAGAGAAAACAGGATGTAAATTTAGGGATCGAGAGGAGCGTGTCAAGTACAGCATAGAGAAGTCAGGATATAAATTTAGGGGTCGAGAGGAGCGTGTCAAGTACAGCATAGAGAAGTCAGGATATAGATTTAGGGATCTGTCAAGTACAGCATAGAGAAGTCAGGATATAGATTTAGGGACTGGTTTACAGCATAGAGAAGTCAGGATATAGATTAGGGAGAAGCATAGAGAAGTCAGGATATAGATTTAGGGATCGAGAGGAGCGTGTCAAGTACAGCATAGAGAAGTCAGGATATAGATTTAGGGATCGAGAGGAGCGTGTCAAGTACAGCATAGAGAAGTCAGGATATAGATTTAGGGATCGAGAGGAGCGTGTCAAGTACAGCATAGAGAAGTCAGGATATAGATTTAGGGATAGAGAGGAGCGTGTCAAGTACAGCATAGAGAAGTCAGGATATAGATTTAGGGATCGAGAGGAGCGTGTCAAGTACAGCATAGAGAAGTCAGGATATAGATTTAGGGATAGAGAGGAGCGTGTCAAGTACAGCATAGAGAAGTCAGGATATAGATTTAAATTGTCAAGTACAGCATAGAGAAGTCAGGATATAGATTTAGGAGAGTGTCAAGTACAGCATAGAGAAGTCAGGATATAGATTTAGGGATAGAGAGGAGCGTGTCAAGAGAGGAGAGTGTATAGATTTAGGGGTCGAGAGGAGCGTGTCAAGTACAGCATAGAGAAGTCAGGATATAGATTTAGGGATAGAGAGGAGCGTGTCAAGTACAGCATAGAGAAGTCAGGATATAGATTTAGGGGTCGAGAGGAGAGTGTTAAGTACAGCATAGAGAAGTCAGGATATAGATTTAGGGATAGAGAGGAGCGTGTCAAGTACAGCATAGAGAAGTCAGGATATAAATTTAGGGGTCGAGAGGAGAGTGTTAAGTACAGCATAGAGAAGACAGGATGTAAATTTAGGGGTCGAGAGGAGAGTGTTAAGTACAGCATAGAGAAGTCAGGATATAAATTTATAGAATGTTACGTACAGCATAGAGAAGACAGAGTAGATTTAGAGAGTGTCAAGTACAGCATAGAGAAGTCAGGATATAAATTTAGGGGTCGAGAGGAGAGTGTTAAGTACAGCATAGAGAAGTCAGGATATAAATTTAGGGGTCGAGAGGAGAGTGTTAAGTACAACATAGAGAAGTCAGGATATAAATTTAGGGGTCGAGAGGAGAGTGTTAAGTACAGCATAGAGAATACAGGATGTAAATTTAGGGGTCGAGAGGAGAGTGTTAAGTACAACATAGAGGAGTCAGGATATAAATTTACGGGTCGAGGGGAGAGTGTTAAGTACAGCATAGAGAATACAGGATGTAAATTTAGGGGTCTGGAGGACAGCAATTACAGTATATTGGGAAAGGACTGAAATATACATTTAGGGTTGGCATTATTTTCTATGAAAATCTGCAAATTTACAGAGATTTGAAATTCTGTAAGTCTCTATTTGAAATATTGATTTATTATGTTAAGTTAGTATTTTATGAATAATTTTTTTTTTAAACTTTCATATTTTTACATTTACCTTTCATTTTTGAATTTTGTCACTTGTATTTTTCTCTTTTTTTTTTTTTTTTTTTTTTGCTGGTTTAGTTAATTCTTGATTTTTTTTCTGAGTTATTGGGATTATTTTAGTTTCTGTTGTTCTTGCAGAAATGAACCACATCCAGCAAATATGTGAGGTAGACAGGTTACGGAGGCTAGCAAACTCAGGTAGTTACTTAAGCTGTTAGCATTTCATAGTTGGAATGTCTGTAATTTGTTAATAGACAATCTTACAAGAATTTCCATTTGTAGAAGATTTTGTGAAAAAAAATCATAAATTTTTTCATTTTTTTGTTTTCAGGTATGGTAGAATATTTTCAATATTATTTGAAATGGAAAGGAATATAAGAATCTGTTTATCACATAACGTGCAAATATTGGCAAAACAGGATTTTATAATTGGACTCATACAAAATTTAGATGGATGATATCACAGTAAAGCACTCTTTTTGGTGACATCACAATCCATATGATGCCGTGTAGCTATGTGTCGCTATATGAACAGTGCAAACCTTAAGCCAATTACATCAATTTTATGAAATGGATGTTAAGACGCTGATGAACTGGTAGTTATGTGATAAAATTCTTTCATCATAGACCAATTATTTTGGTATGATTTATTCTTTTATTATTTTTTCTTTTCTTTTTTTATGCTCTGAAATTTTTTTGGGGAGCATGTAGTTGCCGTCTTGTTTCTTTTAACATTGTAATTTTAAAATATTCAGATTTGACATAAAACTGAAGGAGTGTAACATTGTTTGGCTAATATAGAAATATGCTTGTCAACATATTCAATGGCAAAACATGAAAACACATGTGCTGTGATAAAATCAAGGTTGACAAGCTCGTTTTGCATATGCCAATCAACATTGCAGTCTAGCAGTTGAAAGGAAAAGATGTAGGGCTTGTAGTTGTATTTCGTGACCTTTTTGTACTTAAAGGCGTGAAGAGAAAATCCAGTGAAAGCTCGGCAGAAGGCAGCATTGGGTCAAAAATGTTACTACTGGACAAGGATGGAGGTAAAACCAAACCTAACAGTAGTCTGATGCCAAGCAACTCGTTCAACTCAACGGACAAGACAGCCATTTTGTTTCCAAACAAGAACAAAAAGAAGATGCTCAGTCGAGAATTTGCTCAGGAATTCCATGAATCTGTTCTTCAGACGACACGACAAAAGGAACTTAATAACAGAATAGGTGAGGCTTTATAAATCTGTTCTGTAAGGATCAAGATGAAAGTAACGTAATGATAAATTAGATAAGATTTTAATTAAGATGAAACAGTATCAAACTGAGAGAAAATCGACTAGGAAAGAATACTCAGCCTCCCTGTAAAAATTATGATCAAAATGTCATTTTGAGATTCTTAACTCAAGTAAGACCTCATTGGTTAAAATTTGTCATCATGATATTGTTCACAAACATATTTGGTTTTAAGGAACATTGAAAAAGAGGAGACACATATTTTTTCTATTCAATTCTATTTTCTTACCTTTTACAGCTCTTTTTTACATATGTGAAATGATCTGTTCAGTGATATATAACTTTATGATTTGTCTCAGGAATGGCACCGAATCGACCAACTGATATGAAGATGTTCTCTGGTAAAGGCGAGTTACCCAGTGTGTCCAGACTGGCTAGTAACTCAGGCAGCAGTAAGGCTGGATCCTCAGCCGGAGGGTCAGCTGGGTGTCGGACTGATCACGATACAAATGGCGGTGTACAACGTTGGCCAGGGATTGACAGTCTTCTGGAGGCGTACCAGCACCACTCAGAAGGTGAGGCAGATCAGGATCAGATCCTTTCAGTGGTAAAGGGAAGATAACTCCAATCAGGTTTCCTTTGATTTAGCATAAGAGGGATATTTTTTAAAAATATTTATGCCACGGCGAACTGAAAACAAAATTGTTTAAAGTATGGTATTATTTAAATCACTTCTCAAATAACTGATTGATTTACATGGAATTGACATTAAATTAAAATTTGTAACACATAAACATGGTCTTAACCCATTCTTATTGAACCACTGATTAAATTTCTGTACTACTTAAAAATTGAGTTGCTCTTTTTCCAAATCATTGTTACTGTATCCTTCTCATGCTACTGAGATCCTGTAAAGTTGAACACAATTAGTTTCAATTTATTTTTCTTCAATCACAGAACAAAAGCTGGAGCGAGGCATTTTGATGGAACGTTGTCACCATCTTCAAACTGATAACCAGGATCTCAACAGGACGGCCGAGAGTCTCAGCAAACGCATGGCGGTCAGTATTTAACAAAAATGACTGAAAATTTGCCGGGGGTACCTTTAATACATGTCAGTAAGAAGATTTTTCCACTTTCATAATTCTCCAGTTATCAGCACATGTGGGTGATAGCCCCACCCATAAATATTATAGTCTTAGTACTGCCACCAACTGATGCTATATCATTGCTTTGTCATAGCCCACATCCTCTGACATTGTATCTGAGCATTGAGAGAAGGGAGATAACTCAAATATAATTTTTTATTTGGAGCTCTCCTGTGTAGAGGAAAATGTTTAAGAAAGAAATATGAAAGATGGAAGGCAAAAACAAACAAAAAAAAAAAGTTTAAGAAATATAAACGAAAGATAGACGATTGGTTTCAAATGTTTTGTGGAATGGGTTATTGTGACCGGAACTTATCATTCCAGCTAATTTCAAGATAATATGGTATTACTGTTCAAGTCTATTGATAAGCTAAGAGGGACAATACATTACCCCTAACTTAAAGTTAAAGATGATAAAACAGCATTAAATAGTAAATTTTCTTAACAGATGTAAGTTGGCTTCTTACAAGGAATAGCCTAATTGCCAGATCGAAATGTAAAACTGTAGATCCTGGCTTAAAGATCTTTGGGGACCCTGATCGACTTATTTGAAACTGTCGAACAGGGTAGCTGTTAATGATAATGTTGCTGCTTTGGCATTACAAAGAAAGGATATCATGATATATGGTAGATAGTGTGGTTGATGTAAATTTGAGTGTGTATGTGTTTGTGTGTGTGTGTGTGCATCAATTGATGATGTCACCAAAGTATGTGTACACATGAATTGTGATGTTGTCCCTACCATCAAGAGCAGATATTGATCAATTGGTTTATTGATTTATTTTATTGGTTTCTTGCATTTGGTTGTTTGATGGAATTTTTCATATACAAATTGAAAAGTCAATGTCATTTTGTTAGTGGAAAAGTAATGTTTGTCTTTATGTATTGCAGGAGTTGATAGAACAAAAAAGGCAGGCAAGCAATGCGAGGAACAAACTACAGGAGTCTATAGACAGTCTGAAGAAATGTACACGTGACATTCGGTGATGGTTGAAGTCTACATCTACAAAATTACCCTCCAATTGTGATATAGCGCAATATCTTAAACCAAGTGGACCATGTGCAAAATTGATTTTAAACAACATATGAACAGAGACTTTGAACGAAGATTTACAAGTGATGCATATATGAAATATATATATCATTGATTTAATCCAGATCGGATTAAAAACTTTTCGTCGGACTCAAGTTTACTTTTTCTGACTTTTCATTTCTCGTGTACATGTGATTCCAGATCATACCTTCATTTATCATCATAATTTATCGGGAGCCTTGATCAACGTCACTGCCTAGCAAAGAAAACATTTCATTATGCGTATCATTATATTTAAAACCATTGCTATAGTATCGGGTATGTGTTGAAACCAAAGGTTTGATTTCTTTCAAAAAAATCATAGATTTACACGTCTACAGTATATTGTTTTGCAAGAAAAAAATATGAATTGTTTTTGTATCTCTTTATAATTTTAATTTCTACAAACATTTATGTTATAAACATCGAGTTAATTATGAATAGCTAGACAATAATGCTGTCTATGTGCGTGTTTTAACTCGATTTTTTTGTTTCTTTTATGAGTGATAGTGTAATGCTGCAATTTTATTGCTGTATTTAAATTAAAAATTTTACGTCTTCAAAATGTTGCGACGAGGATAGCGTTGTTAATATAACACTTTTAAAGGAGATTTAATGTGCTGGTAAATAACGATGGAATAGATGATGGGTGTTTCCATTAAAAACATTTCTTTGGAATTTTAGTGTTTTTGTTTTTCTTCATGGTTATTCTCACTTTATGTCCTAGTAACAGGCAGGGTCATTTAATAATATGCAGGTTTGGTTGATGGAGGAAAGCTGGAGTTCCCAGAGAAAAATCACTGACCTACAGCCAATACCTGGCAACTGCCCCGTGTAGGCCTCAGAACACATGACCTAGAGGTGGAGTGCTAGTGATAAAGACAGACACCTATCACCACAGCCCCTTTTCTTCTGTTGTAAGGATGACAGATTCAAGACTGTAATATGACATGTATAATAAACATTGTAACTTTACTCAAACTCTGGTTTATTAACTTAAAAGCTGTAGATCGAATATGACATTGTTTGAATTTGGGAGTCACTTCATCCAAAATAATACCAGTAGGTACCAGATGAAGAAAGACCAGAGGGGGAAGGTTTTTAAGGGGACAAATGATTATTATTCTCTAACCACAATTAGCATTAAGTTGCCCTGTATAACAGGTTGATATAGCCTGAAAGAACTGTGCAACATCGCTGGGTGATTGTTATTCTGTGTTCTGCATTATCTACTGAAATTTTGAATGATATATTTGAATCAGGTACCAGACAAAGATTTCATTTTTCCTCAATTCTCTGCTGTGCCTGAAGATTCTGCTTGGTAACAATTCTTCCTAAACATGAGCAAAATGAAAACCCCTTTTATTGATATTGACTTTGAAGTCAACAAAAAAGGGTTCTTTCATATCATCCAGTTACAAGGACAATGATTTCCATTAAAAAAATTTCGTGAAAATCTGATGATTATTTTAGGAGTTGCGTTCACAAGGCTCCACTATGAGCAAGCTACATATACAAAGTTGAAAATGGCATAAATCTTACAAAAATCAACGAAACAAAAAATCGCCCCTTCATGCACATCTACCCATTGTAGTAGTGACATTGAGAAAGTTTCATGAAAATCTGATGATGAGTTCAGGAGGAGTTGCGTTCACAAGAAATGGACGGACAGAGGGAGAAGATGATGCCAATATACCACCGCCTCCAGCGGCGTATAAAAATTTACATATCCCTGGCCTGTTTGAATATGCGAGTGTAATGGTTATCCCAGTAAAACATCTAGTTGACCCTAGGACTCCCAAAATTAATCACTCTTTGTTCCTCGGCAAATTACCCATTAAACTCTATGAATGGTAGCCCTGAACAAAACATAGAGCCCTTGCTTCAAATAGATGTTTTACTGGAAAATTCCTAAAAAAATGAAAAAAAAAACAGACAAATGCATAAAAGATACCATAACAATTTTATTTTCACTATGTTTAGTCACCAAGTCATTAACAAAAACAGAGTGTATGAAAAACAACCTTTGTGGTGACGGTTTCTTTACTATCATACATGAACTGTAAAAACGTTAATTTTCGGGGGATTTATTTTCACTGATTTCAGAGAGGCACACCAAATTCACATGGCCAGAAACTGTCATAAATAGTACAAGCTGACTTAACGTAGCTATATATATCCATATCAAATGTCCACACAAAATAGTATCAGTATGTTTTTGTGAAACACGAAAATAAATCATTTGACTGTATCTCATTTTCCTTACTTTTTCTTTAATATTCTGTAAACATACTTAATTTCATACAATCAAATTTTAGTGCATTATCCAGGGCTCTTGATCTGCCAGATTTGGGGCTGATATTCGGCCTCATTCCCAATGCAAAATAGTATCTTTTTTCCCAAATTTAGACCCTAAGTTTTCCCAATTTTAAGGAAAACACCATTATTTTTCCCAATTCTAAGGGCCCCGGGCCCCAGTCCCAAAATGGGGTGTGAGAGCCCTGTTATCGCATTTATTGGTAAATTAGTGCAATGATAAATTTGCACGTCTACAATAATTACTTTATCAGTATAAAGCAAATCTCTAAAACAAGATTACCTCTAAAGTAAGTATTTTTACAGTAGAACTACAGAACAGAGCTTGATGTTCAATTACTTTCACTTAAAGGTACAAAGTATAAATTCTTAGATCAATTAAAATAGAAATAAAACACAATGCTTACAAGTATACAATACCAGTAAAGGAAGTGTATTTTTGTACAAGCTGCCTAACACAGTTCAGAAAATATTCTTTACTCAGTTTCAATTTAAATTCAACACCACATCAAATTTGTGTTTTAACCACATTTACACACGAATATTGTTATTTAGTATTCCTTAAAAATATTGAAGTAGATATTTTATATTTGGAGGACAAGTCTGTAACTGTTCTCAGGGTTTTCCATAATTCTGTTAGTAGTAGGCTGTGTAGTGAAAGTAGGAGGCTGGTGAAGCCAGCCTACCCGAGCTGCAATGCAGCGAGGTAGGGTGGCCTGCCGTGTACGTGTATGGAACATTATTACGGAACTGGATTGGTGTAGGCAGCCAAATGATCAAAGTAGGCGGTCAAATTGGCCAGCGACCGACTTATGGAAAACCCTGTGTTCCTGTAGCTACGAATTCAATGCTAAACTGGATATACTATATAGATACTTAATTTGGTGTGATGAAACTTTCGCGCATTAACACTTTATGGGCAACTGAACACAATTATAAATTAATGCATGCACAATAATTGTTTTATGAATAACCTACATAAACTGTATAATTAACACAATCATATTTTAGCGCAAAAACTGCTAAAATAATAGTATGTTTACAGTAAGTCAACAAGGAAAATCAACATTCAGAAATTCCCAGAAAACAGAATATTATTGCAGATATATAATATGCTCTAAATGCCCTTATAAACCATCATATTTAAAATTAGTGTATAATAATGACAGATCCGATCAATGGCACTTCAAGCAAGACGAGCTAAAAAGAAAGGTTTCATCTGTCTGAAATCAAATCAGTCGATTTTCAACACTCCATCTGCATCCTTTAACATTTAAACAACTAGAAATTCGTTTATCTTGATTAATCACGTACAAAAACCTAATTCTTCATGGCTCAAAATCTCGATAGAAATCTCGAGGGAAAATACTTTATATAAAGTAATGAAGGGTGTTTCATCATATCAAAATAATTATAAAACAAGCATTAATTTCATCGTTATAAATGTATAACATTTCTGTAAGCACTACATCGTGCACTTAGGAACTAGTTGTATTCTTTAAGCAAATTGCTAGAGTTATTGTCATAAGTTATATTTATCTATCAATATTCCTGAGATAAATGTTAAAGTTGTATGGAGCATCATTGTCATCAACATTAAATTTACTATGTAATAAACCTCGGAGGCAAACACAGAAATCCTGGCCCAAAGTTAGGTGATGATCTTACACAGAAATCCTGGCCCAAAATTAGGTGATGATCTTACACAGAAATCCTGGCCCAAAATTAGGTGATAAGCTTACACAGAAATCCTGGCCCAAAATTAATGTCTTACAAGTCCTGGCCCAAAATTAGGTGATGATCTGTACACAGAAATCCTGGCCCAAAGTTTATGATGTACACAAAATCCTGGCCCAAAGTTAGGTGATAAGCTTACACAGAAATCCTAGCCCAAAATTAGGTGATAAGCTTACACAGAAATCCTGGCCCAAAGTTAGGTGATGATCTTACACAGAAATCCTGGCCCAAAATTAGGTGATGATCTTACACAGAAATCCTGGCCCAAAGTTAGGTGATAAGCTTACACAGAAATCCTGGCCCATAGATAAGTAATGAGCTCACACAGAAATCCTGGCCCAAAGTTAGGTGATAAGCTTACACAGAAATCCTGGCCCAAAATTAGGTGATAAGCTTACACAGAAATCCTGGCCCAAAATTAGGTGATAAGCTTACACAGAAATCCTGGCCCAAAGTTAGGTGATGATCTTACACAGAAATCCTGGCCCAAAGTTAGGTGATAAGCTTACACAGAAATCCTGGCCCAAAGTTAGGTGATGAGCTCACACAGAAATCCTGGCCCAAAGTTAGGTGATAAGCCTATCGCAGGACAGTTAATTACCCTTCCTGTGTAGTTTTCCCAATGGCAAAAGATTTTGGTGGGCTTATTACCAGGTATTGGCTTATTGCCAAATACATGAATCTAATACAGCAAACATGAGAATCAGTGTTATACTTGATCATTTCTCCTATTCCTGAGAAGCATGGACATGTCCACTCATGTTTGACCGCAGAATGTGCATCTGGTCAAGGGCTTGTGTAAGGAACGGTCGAACAGTATTCAACTCCATTAGCGTTAAGTGATTCAGCTGTCAAAACACAAAATTATATATAATGATTACAAAGCATCCTCAAAATTCCATGTTTCTGATTCATGAAATTGCATTTGGTGATACCTGACTTTTCTAGTGGGCTTTTTGGGGCCAAGAATGAATCCGTTCCCAATTAAATTATTTCATTTCAGAGCAAAAATTCCCAAAGTTGACAATAAACTCCTGAAAATCTCTTTTACAATTCATTTTTTACCAAATTGAGGCAAAAGAGCCCCATCCCAAACCAGTGAAAAAGAAACCCTGCTGAAAATTCTACTTGACCAGCTGTAAAAAGAAATGTGGTGGTTACATTTTGTCAGACAGGTTTCATTGCTAAATGAATACAGTACACAACAATCAACACAAATTTCTGATAACAGATTCCCCATATATCCCACTCACCTTAGCATGAGTTGCCTCACTTTTTACAAAAGTGTCAATACTGCTCCTTAATTTGGCTATCCTTAAATCCCAGATATCTTTAACAAGTGTTCTGATCTCATCAGCGTGAGGTATGTCATCAGTGGCACTAAATGAGAGATAAAACAAACACCTCTTATTTATTTCTAACCTAATTTTTACATGTATTTAACGGCCATCTAAAATAAATATATGAAAATTACCAAAATTAATTAATTATGGAGCTAGTCCACCTCCCCATCTCCCAGTTAATTTTAACAAAATTAAAAGGTGCTACTCACTAGTGTGTTTTGCACACTCTTTGTTGATAAATCTATGCTTAAAAATAGCATTCTGTAAACTGAATAAACTACACAAAAATTGTATAGAGGTAACACTGATGATAAATTGATGTTGAATGTCAAAGATGATTCAATGGAACAAAGTTTTCCATCTTCCATACAGACAGCTGGTAACACATACATTCAGACATATCAATTCCATCTTCATAAAGTGAGTACTGGTATAGACATTCACAAAAATAGTGTGCTAGAAACCTCTTCATCTTAGAGCTGTCTAACATATTGTCATATAAAAATCCAGGGACTAATATTAATTGTATTGCAAACCAATCATACGAATTGTTAATGTGAATTTATTAATTTTTCATTGTTTACATTTTTTTTGTTCGTTTTATTTCTTTTTCTCATTTCTTTTTTTAAAAGAGAGTTCTGTTACCATCAAATTTAAGATTACTCAAATTCTGATGACATCCGGATTACTTTATACATCCTCCAGTAAGTCCAGGGGCCAAACAGAGCTTTGACTGAAAAGTTGCAGGGGATTGGGTGCCATGAATTATCAAAATACATAATATTTTTTAGACTATACAGGGTTTCAGCCTATTGGCATTTTTAATTCTACTGAATAGGAAAAAGGTATGTCCCATGAATTGAAAGATATACATAAAATAAACTTACTATTTTAATAAAAGTTGCGTGATTTCCATGTAATGTGAAGAAGGCATGGCGGTGAAAAATTTGGAGTCTGTCTCTTCTTGTTTCTTGTCTTGTAATTGTTCTGTAATACACAAATTGAGCTTTACGATAAATGTTTGTATCAATCTTACAACTGCTTCAGTCTAACACATTACCTCCAGTTCAAAGGCTTACCTACAAGTGTATATTCATCCAGGTCGAGGGAGTCAGTAAACATTTCTGTAAACCTACCTACATCCATCCAGGTCCCCACCCCTATTCCTCCTCCTCATCCCAAACTTTATAAAAGTATTCCTTTAACCAAAACTTGATAAAATATAAATAATCATATATAGGATACTAGAATAGACAAACTACTTTATCTCTACTCAACAGATAATCTTTAGAATTAACAGGTTACTCTTTATAAACACATAGCATTAAACATAATTCAACCATCCTTCCCACGTTAAAATTGTCCAATCTCACATGTTAAATGATCCTCCTTCAGTTATTGATAATAAAAGTAGGTGCTTAATTCCATCCAGGAGCTTAAAAAAATTCACAACTTTATTCCGCCTGAATAACATTATTGTAAGCTATATATAGACATAGACTTCTAAATTTCCCAATTTAAAAGTAAAGACCCTGTATTATGGCAGCTTGGATGTTTGGACAGTACACCATGGATAGGATGTCTCCACCAATGGAAGTCCAGACATGTACTCTCAACACCAGAAGCCCCCCCCCCCAACCCCCACACAGCCCCCCCCCCCCCCCCCCCCCCCCCCCCCCCCTCCCCCCCCCCCCCCTCCCCCTCCCCCTCACGTCGCCAGAGAATCGACCTCAGTTGGTTGGACAACGCCTGGCAGCGGGGGAGAATCATGGACATGATAAACCATCATCATCATTACTATTATCCACGTCGGAGGTGTCAGTCTGCATTTCTGTAAACTTACCTACAACCATCCAGGTCGGAGGTGTCAGTCTGCATTTCTGAGACTGTTTAAGGTTGATAGCCATCCATAATGGAACCTCAGTAGGTAATCCTGGGCTAAATGGACCGATGTCTCCCTGTGATGAAAAAATACACTCCAGTATACATACTTCTAACGTAAATAGAATACAGAGTAAAATATCTAATATGAAGTGCTCGGGTCTCAAATAATGTGGGACTTTAGTTGAAACTTACACCAATCAGGTAAATTTTATCTTGTGCGAAATTAGGAACAATTGAGACAGTTTCCTTTTCCGCTAAAAATTCTACTTCAGCTGTGTCCATCTTCAGATCGTCATTTCACCATTTCCGATAAATAGATTGTCAACATCAGTCGGACATCAAACTTTTCGCGGGATATAGCCGGCTTGCAGCACCTGTGAAACGTTTGAATCGATGGTCTTGTGTTGTTTGCCGTCTTGAGCGTATAAAGGACGTGGATGCTCAACAAACATGGCGGCACGATTGCTTGTAGAAGCCGGTAGGCCTATCGCCTATCAGTTAATCGAGGCTACATCTTCGAAACATGTTATTCAGGTGCGCATAACACACATTTAGTTGTTAAATTGTAAGAGGAGTTACAGTGAATTGTATTTGACATTTATCTACCAATGTCGTGGGCAGAAAACCCTAATTTCATCCAAGGACAGCGAGGGCGAATGACAGATTTTAATCACGGACTTAAAAGTCCCTATTTCAATTAAGTTTTTGGGGATATATCCACTCAGCTGATGAGAGTATTTTTTGAAAGAATATCTTCAATGGATCCTTTCATCTGAAAATTAAGAAAAAATCTCATCTCGGATACATTTGTACATGATTGAAGAATTAATTTCTCTCAAGAATTATCATGAAATGCTACTTTCAATTTAGGCAGATATATCACGAGAAATGGGCCGCGACTGTCAGTCAAGTATCAGACATTTCAAACTCAGGTATAGATCCGAATTTTGTGGTTCGATCCCTCTGAAATGCTGTTCCGTGAGGTAACCACCAATAATTACAATGTGACACTGCTTCAAAACGTATTTATCATTAAGAATATTATCTATTGTAAATTCATTTACAGATATGGACACAGAGGCTTATTCCCAGCCTGCATCCATCATATATCCTAATATATCCTAATATTAAAAATATAATATAAAACGGCCATGGTTCCTCACGGTTTGATAAAACAAACAAAAAAATACTATAAAGACAAAGACAGAACTTCCATTAAGTTTATTTTGCTTTTATTGTCACAATGATTAAAAGTAAGAGGTGGCAAGGTTGCTGTTAACATGCTGGCAGATATTAATATGGAAAATGGCACATCACATTTTAACTTGATGTGATGGAAATTACCTACAACAGGTTCGTTATATTTCAATGCAATTGGTTTGTCTTGCACCATTTTTCATGTAAAAGAAGAACAGAACTGAAGTCACCACTACTAACATCCACTTGACTGGTTGTAGAGGCTATATGGTGAAGCATAGCAGTAACGAGAGTGATAATAGTAATAGAATTACTTACCAGCTTTGTCTTCACTTCAGGGCTCAGTAAATAGCGGTCAGACGATTTACTGAAACAGACCCAATTACCAAAACAATACCAAAACAAGCCATTTGTAGGGGTTTTATCATGCTGATTACTAACATATCTATTAAATGTCAATCAAATATACATCTCTAGATAAAAATTGAAAAACAATGACTTTGGTATGATTTACACTGACTTTGATTACGTAATGCTTAACCAAAACAAGACAAGGATATAAGGGATGTAACTCTTACAACACTGTTCTTAAGAAGTGTCTTACTTTCATTTGCTAAGAAAATTAACTAAAATGTATTGTATTAGAGGTTTGTTATGAAAATACACCTGCCAAATTACTGCCAAAAAAGCTCTGTTTCAGTCTTGTTTTGGTAATTGGGTCAGTTTCGGTAAATCGTCTTATCCGTAAATAGAGCATATCACTGTGTGTTCAGGTAAAGATCGATGTTGCATGATACCATCCCAATTCTGGTCAGTTTGTGTTTCTCAGGACAGCCAGATCATTTATCATCCTGTGATGTCGTTAAGTCCATCAACAAGGCAGTTTACTCCAATTTCCTTTAGATAACACTGTTCCAAGATATCCCTGCCTCCCAAAAAAATGTGAGTTTTTCACCCTTTCAATGACTGCTTTGATCTGATTTTTTCTAGGGGTCACCTATAGAAAGCTTACAAATGGGAAACAAAATCATGTAATTCTATAAAATTTACCCCCAATTCTGAAATCCAGTGGGAACACTAGACAATATAGAGCAGGAAAGCTGCATGTTGAGGGGGATCAAAATGACCACCACATTTTTCAGTGTTCTCCTTGGACCAATTTGTTTATTTTAACAAATTGCTTTATGGGCACTTAAAATTAAACATTTTGGACATAAATTAGAACAGACCTGCAAATATTGAAACAGGCCTCAAAAGACTTTGTTGAAGCTCATCAGCAGAATAAAATTACATGACCAACCCCTTTTATAGATTAACAACCCTGGTCCAACTGGTCAAACCAATAAATAGAATCAGCCCTTGAAAATATTGCTATTGTTCCACCTGAATTGAAAATCTTCACAAAAGAGGCATTCTGTAAGATGGAAGGATTGTAATGATAAAGTGATTGGAACTCTCTTATTTTCAGAATCATTACCAAATTTTGTTTGATGATTCCATCGCTTGTGTTAATTCAGAAACATTTTTACCTTGCAGGTTGTAGGATTTGGGAAGCTGAAATCAAGACTGCATGGTCATCACCTGAGACATGCTAGAAGTCTATCAACCACACTCCAAGTTTTTAGCACAACTGGAAAGGATGGTGCTGTGGCTAAAGATGAAAAGAAACAACCTGCCCAAGATACTGAGAGTAAAAAGACGGGAGTTGTCCCAAAGGAAGATGAGAAAGATGTCTCAAAGCCACAAGTGGTTACCACAGCCATGGTACCAAAGGAGACAAAGCAGACAACTTTAGCTAAGCTGCAACGCAAAGCTGAAGAGGAATATTCTCAATACAGGTGAAATATTGAAAAAAATTGACAGGGTGTTTGATCATTGGTTCACTGTCTATCTTTATCTTATGTTAAAAATTCATCTCAGAAATAATCCTTGCTTACTGAGAAGATTGTGTTATGGTGTTTGTTCAGAAATGAATGTCTCTCCTGACTATTTACACTGTTTTAGAAATGTTTCCAAAAGAGCAAAGGTTTCAGTTAAAGATTTCTCTTAAATACATTTAACACTTAGTAGAACATTTTCTTCTGAATAAAAATTATTTTCAGGGGATTGAATTTTAACTTTCAAAGCTTTCAAATTCAATTCAAATTTTATGCTCTTAAGACATCCAACTGTGTATAATTTTTGGCAGCAGAGCAGGGACCCAAAAAGTCACTGATTAGGGTTGTCTAGTGGACAGAGTATACTAATCTCTTAGATCCCATCTTTACCAAATTAAACACTTTATCAAAAGCTTGTACAACTTTGTATATTAAATGTCTACTACAATTATGAAGTATGCAAAGGTCTTAATTTTTATATGAAGGAATCATAATGCCAAAAAAATATTTTTTAAAAGACTCCAACAAAATAAGGCAGGTTGTCCTATAGATTTTCGAAATATATCAAGAATTGAACTTCAGGTTTGATAAACTCAATATATGATAGGGCGCAGCAAAAGCACTCGACTGCTCATCCTGACAACTGGATTTTGCTGATGGATAAGTGATTCTTATTGTCAACTAGTTCGTCAAATGATTAAATTTTCCTATATTATTCTTTGTACTTTTTAAATGAAACTATCAACCTATCAATTGACGTTCATGCATTTGTTTTTAAAGACACTGCTGTGAAAAATAGTAAAAGATTCAGCAGGTCGACAGATAAGTTTGTACAGTTTCCAAAAGGAACATGTGATGAAACAAGTGTTTCATTGACTGTGATTGTGCCATTGGATTACCTTTTACATAATTCAACTGAACCAGTATCAGTATTACTGTCATTACAAGGATGTAGAAACCCTGAACTTCTCTACCTTGGAGTTAAATCCATGGTGGCACTATGATTCTTAGGAAGATATTCAGTAGGCAAGGATCACTGAAGATTTAAAAGCTGATGCAGCTGAAATTCTAACAACAGCATTGGATATATGGTTAACTGATTTTAGAATAATTCATCAAAGTTGCTATGTGTCTCCAAATAGAAAATTTCAACTCTTTATTACAAAAATTGTTTGACAATATCTGTTGATAAATGTCCTTTCATTTCAGGGAGAAATACATTCCCATCACTCGGACGTCCATAGTTCGTCACATTTTACAGGAAGACATGCTAAATGATGAGGAAATGAAAAGTTTTGAAGATTTTGCATTGTGTCTCGACAAATCAATTCGCAACAAATACCACGGTGTTCTGCAGCAGGCAAAGGTAGGAGTCTGCATAGTAGAGGACAAGTCATATTTGACCCCCTAGAAAATGTCGTGGCAAAATTGAAGACACGAGAAGTAATGTGATTGGTTCCAGGATGAAAAAAACTGATCAAGGTTCCAGGATGAAAAAAACTTATCAACCATAGGCTGATACGCTCCTTTTGAAGATTACAAAGAAGAGACACCCATTTTCAAAGTCTTTGCAATGTACTGTTTTGAGACCTTGAGATTTGTTTGATGTACATCAAAGGATCAAACTAGTCTTAACGTCTTGTCCACAATGTGTCACACATGAAACCTTCAATTTTGCCATAAGATCTTCCAAAGGTGCAGAAAGCGAAAGCAATTGTAATCCTCTGGAGTCTTGAGGATGGGTTGAGTGTGGCCAGAACAAATGTGACAGTTGTTGTAGAAAAGTTTGATGGTACTCTTAAGACTGATGATGGGTTTTCATGTTATTTTAGAAGGAAACAAACTTTTGATGCTGGAGTGTAGTTAGAAGATCTCTCTTGAGATGATCATTTAACACATTCTGCTTAGAATTATTTCAAGAAGCAAAGCCTGTTTGGGTTTTAGTAAACTAATATGACTTTCTCATAGTCCAGAAAACATTTTTGAAATTGATACTTGCTTGATTTCCGATGTGATGATAGTGAATATACCTTAAGGGGAAGTTCTACTTTTTATTCAGGACCTGAAACAGTTTTTTCCACTCATTAGGGAAAGGGCCTTTTTATCTTACTCTTGGAAGAAAATTGAGCAATTGGGAAGAAAATTTTAAGCAGTAAACTACATATATAGTTTTAGAATTTGGTCACTTTATGAAATGATTTCAGTCAGAACTGGGGCCAATATCAAGCACCAAAGAGCCCCCCCAAAAAAGCCCTGTAAAATAAATATAGAGAAAATGAACATAGTAATTGATATTTGAGAGAATTGTTTTAATTTGATTATGTCATTCTGGTATTTCTAAATTTTATCACTTTGTCACGGTACAGGCGATGTTTGACCCGCTGAATCCTGACAAGGACACCATCCAGACTCGGACATGGAATAAAGCAGAACGAGTAGATAATGAGTTCTGGCTGATGCAGCGCCTGGAGAAAATAATGGAGAAAGCTAACTTCCATGAGCTTCCAAAGTCTGTCCTGACTAAGGCCATGGAGGAACATGAAGTTGGACTTGGAGTCCGGGTAAGTCAACATTGTCAGTGATAAGTTCGTAAGGTAGAAATATCAACATCTGTGATGTCATATTCATTTTTTTGAAGCAGACATTTTGAATTCTAGCATCATTTGGAGACATGCTTCTCTCCTGAGAAAGAGTACAGTGAAACATTAAATATTTAGAGACATTTGGTTCGTAAAGTAATCACTGAATTAAAAAGGTCATCCTTTTCTTATTGTGATCTCTAAAAAGCTCACCATGCAAATATGAAACTTCTGCGAAAATATAGTTACATTTTTTTCTGGATAAATGTGTTTTGGAAAATTAATCTGTTTTACCTTACTTTATGTTGTGTTTGCAATGATGTTTTCATCTTAGGTAAGCCATGATTCGTCCAAGTTTGATGTTCTACGTATCTGGGCCCTTGGGAAGACTTTACCTAAGGAGAAACCAGCTTTTTATCTACGAGCCTTTTACTACTTGTTCCCAAGTCAGGCTCCAGGTCCTATTGAGAGCTTGTACTACAAGCGAGTAGCCCTCGCAATGAGGTTGAAGAAGGATCAGAAGCTTTTACTCAAAGGCTTCAAAGACGTGCCCAAAAACTCTCTAGAGATGCTGATGCCCGATGTGAAGATACGAATGACAAACTATGATAAATTATGGCTTGGAGGGTCAGTCAGCATGTTTGCCATAAGTCTTATGATGAAAACTGTACCGTTTCTCTCAGGGGTACAGAACTGGACTTTAGGTTTGACAGGTGTGACTGTAGCTGTAGGTGGAACAATGTATTTCAGGTATCAGAATCGTCGCAATGCCTACCTGGCCGAACTCTTTCAGATGTTGTATAGCAATAACATTGCAAATAATCGGGGCCTTCTCACACTAGTTGTTGACCGAGCAGAGGATGAGAGCTTCAAAGAGGCCCTGCTTGTGTATGCATTTCTCCTGGCCAACCGTCCAGTGAGAGTAAAGAATAAAGCTATGGCTGAAATGGCCCCAGAGGAACTAGGTAAGATAATTGTGATAGTGTACAGTGATACCTATACAATTTGACACCCTATCAGCTTCAGCATATTGGTCAAATTAGACAGGTTATTGCAATACATATCTCTCTTTTAATTAAGATTTTTAGAAAATTCAGGAGTTTTCTTTACATCATCTTGTCCTTCATCAACAAGAACATGTGGGTTCAAAATCAAACAGATAAGTATAATAATATACACCGAAATTTATGTATATTTAAAATAATCGTTTTTAAATTGTAATAATGTTTTCACTGATATTCCTAGCTCTTATTATTTCCATTAAATAAATACAAGTTTCAGGTCATTTAAGTATTTTTGGAACTCATTGTTTACGATATTGCAAAGTGTTGCTATCTTGACTGTTCCAGGTGGACTGACCCAAGCTGAGTTGAAGAGAAAGATAGAGGACTGGATTACAGGTAAAACTGAGGTGAATGCTGAGTTTGACTCACAGGAGGCCTTGACACTGCTAAAGAACTACGGAATTGTCCAAGAGAAAGAAAATAAACTTCACGTTGTTTCCTTAGCAACGGCCATCCGCAGCATGCCACAACGTCCGGATACCCTGCTCATGCGTGAATTGGAGTCTGACCGCGTGGAAGACCATGATGATGAGAAATTCACATGATGATCTGTTGAAAGATAACCTTTTATACATAGGAATGACTGAAATATTTGTGAGAGAATACTAAATTGTCCTCTGACAAAATTTACATGATGTCATATTTTTAACAATCTTCTTCGTGAAATTTCCGTCTAGATATGGACTTATACGGCAATAGGTAACATACAGTTTATCTGTAACCACGGCTACAAGGAAATTGTGTCAACTAATAAGTAATATACAGTTTATCTGTAACCACGGCTACAAGGAAATTGTGTCAACTAATTGGTAACAGTTTACCTGTAACCACGACTACAAGAAAAATGTGTGAACTAAGTATATATATATATGTTAAATGACATTAGTAGATAGCTCAAACTCCTAGTCTTTCCTTTCCTGTATGACATAGCTACGTATGCTGGACCTAATTTTAAACAAATCATGATACAGTTCTGTATGGTATGACATGGTTTCATGCACATCTGCTTTACACAAATTGTCACAACATACAAAAATGTCAATTACCTAGTTGTTTGTGTGATATAAATTGCTGATAATTGGGAAGTACTGTGAATATATAGAGAGAGTTACAGAATGAGTGGTTATTGTAGAGGGTATTTGATAGTGTCTTCAGTAATAACAAATATATTTCACAAGTGTGTTTAATGTTTTAGTATCTTTTACGATTGTGCTGCTGAAAATATGGCAGCAACCTACAACCACCTCTGTTGATGACACAAAATGAAATGTCTGATGTGTTAGTGCCACATTCATGACGTTTGATTGGGGATTGGGATCGATGTCTGATAAGGTCATTTGTGTTGCATTGTTGGCTGACTACCAATGTTGTATTACTAGTAAACAACGCCTTCAGGTTTCTAGTTTTGTGATTTTTTTGGACCAGGTTTTATGATTCGTCAATTTTAGAAAATTTTAAAAACACTTTTATCAATTAGATATTTCTCTATGTTTCATTTTTCAAAAAGTTACAAAAACCACTTGCTAAAGTTTGTGTCATTTGAAATTTTTTTCAAAAAAACGGATGAGACTGAAAGAAATAGCCTATAACACAACAAGCATGAGTTTGTGTGACCTGTTTCTGTAACAAACCTGTTTCCAGGATAGATTGACCTGTGAGTTTTGTTTATGGTTAATGATATGACCTGTTGTTGATATACAAAAACTGATAGTTTAAGAAATATGTTGAAATATTAATATAATTCATTACAAATCATAACAATGATTGATATCAATAATAATAAATGGGTTTGTTATCTTCAAAGCAATAAATTGAAATTCATTTAGCAATCAAATTATTACAAAAACAAAAGTGAACTCCTTATTTCAGTATTTAATTTCCATGAATATGTGAGGCACTCGTTCTGTCTAAGTTCAACTTCTCAACCAAATCTGGCTTTCTTTATCACTAGCCCTCCATCTCTAGGTCACAGGTTTCAGGCCTACGTGGGGCAGTTGCCTGGTACAGGCCATAGGTCCCTGGTTTTTCTCTAGGAACTCTTGCTTTCCTCCACGATCCAAACCTAACACATCCTTAAATGACCCTTGTTGTTAATAGGACGTAAAGCACCAATAAACTGAACTAAACCAAATCTCAACCAATCTAAAGACCGAAATGTCAAATACCACTAGTGGTATACATCCTATATTTATCCAACTGTCAACACATTTACACAATGGTCTGAAAGTGGAATAAAACAACATTTGATGGTAGAAATATGTTTACTAAATGTGATTGGATTAGATCTGTAATAACTTCCAATCAATATTTAAGTAATGCTGATTTGAAACAAATAATAGGTTAAGCTGTGCCAAAACAAATGTGATTTCCTGTGTTGAAATGATATTACTAGGTTGGCAATCTTTGAGTGTTACTGAAATTGTTAAACTGCATTTGATCTCAGTTGATTTAAATCAATTTTATTCTATACTTGTACATGTATTACAGATATACCCTTTCTTAATAATATCCAAAGCTGCTGGTAACTATGAAATGATATGTTTTCATTCAAATTTTTATCAAAAAATCTCTTTTTTTTTTTTTAATTTTTTTTTTCGCACTTGATTTCATATACAAATCTTGTTCACAAAATCTTCTAGTACCATAATACATGTCAACATTTATTTTTTGTTATTTTGTGGGCACTTAAACTCATTTTTGGGTTGAAAGTAACCAAGAAATCAACAGACGTAAATCCCCCACAAAAATGCAAAATTTTATGGTACAAGATATATATATATATGATGAATCTGTTGTATGTTTGCTTAGCTTAAGCCCTAATCTCGCTTATATTTCTTAATTAGTTATACAAATTAAAATTTTACAAGAATCAGAATTATGGAATTTTATCCAGAATGTTTCAGGAAGCTGAAACTCATTCTGCATGAACTACTGGAAAACAAGAGAGCTCTGTTCAGAGAGCATCAAATCTAGATGTCCTGTAAGGTCGGGCTTTGAATCTTAATCTGGGTACTGCTTTCTATCAATCAAATCTATGGACGTTTAGCTCTGATGTTTACATTAGTTGTAAGTTACCTGTCTGATGAATTGCACTTCCCCATATTACACTGTATAGCCGATTATTTTTGAAGGAATGATATTACTGTGGTATATTAACGTGATTGCACAAATTTATGCAGTGAAGTAACGAGATGAGTGTGTATTTGATGTCTGCTTACATCCACATTGTGAAATGTTTATTTACAAATATAATTCATTCCTTTTAGAAGAAGACACAAAAAGCTATACAGTATTTCTAACACCAATTTCTCAGGGAAAGTGTGTTGTAAGAATCAACATAGGGATAAACTCCTAGAAGGTATGTAAGATCTTGTGTATATACTAGGATAAGGAAAATGGTGCCAAAATGGACAACTCCAGCAATTCAACATTTAACATTCTAACATTTCATTGTATTTTAAGATATTTAACGAAAAAAAGGTAGCTTTATTTTCATTATTGTGTGTAGAAATTGAATATAATGAAAGATTTGTTAAGAGGCTTTCTGAAAACCATCTAGCCTTGATGGTCCTTTAGCAAATATTTCCTTTTCGTTATTTTAGTATAGAAACTGAGTATAAAAAAAGATTTGACTGGAAGTTTACTGAAAACCATCTAGCATTGAGAGTCTTTTCACAGAGTGATGAGGAGGGGAGACAACTCTGAAAATGATGGCATTGGTGATACCAGAATAACATGCCATTATATGATGTACATATTGGTCATTTCTTCACTTAATTTGTTAGAAAGGTTGAGAGAACTAGTCTTGTTATGAAGTAGTGGAGTTTTCATTAATAGGTTTTCAGTAAACTGTTGTGATATTACTTCATAGTGATGGTACTTATTGTTTAAAACAGTTTTTGATTTCAACTCTTGGAATTTTATGATAATTGAGTGAAATGTTTAATAAAATCAGGAAATCTTACATTTGCGTGTTTTGTTTTTATTGTAATGCAAATTCTTCTGATTAAATATAAATTTTGTTCTTGGGAGTTACCTCCCATTATATATTTTGAAGTTCACTCGTAGAAAAATGCACTATGGTTGGTTTTAGAGGTTCTTTGCTAGTTTTAAAATCCTGACAAGTCCAATGCATTAGATATTTCATTGCAGTTATAGAAAAAAGATAAAAATTCCTATGCTTGAACACCACAGATTTTTGAGAAAGAACTAAAACAAGAGCTAAGTGTCAAAAGTTAAAAATTTTTTAAAAAATTTTAAAAAATGCCTTACAAGATTGTATGAATACTGTATTTATCCTGTAATAAATCCATGCAGGGCTAACACATACATGTTTTCTCTGAATCAAAATCACAGGGTGGGAAGAGGGGGGGCGGGGATCATTACAGGACAACAAAATAGCTGTAGTTTCTATTTTTACTGAGCAATATAAACGAGTGGCCTTTTATTACCAGGTAAAGGATTATTGACAAATAAACATCAAACTTGAAATTTCGGTGAAATATTCAGAAGATGTAGAGTAATGATTTATGATATAAGGTTATTTCTAAAATGTTTGCTAACAAATTTGTTTAAATACTTGACGTGAGCTTTGAAGGTCACTGATATAGGTGAATGATGCAGCCTCCATGGATCAATGAATTATTCTGATGTAGTGTATAAATATTTATTTATTTCAAAACATTTGAAACAAAATTTTGTTTGTTGTCAAAGACAACCATATCCATGCAGGCAATGATGGAATTTTCTGAAAGTGATACATGAACCACTCATCTTCCCCTTATTCAAATGGTCCCCTATTTAAACCAATCTTCTGAGCCAATAATCCTCTCTTCCTTTCACGCTTTCCCTACCCATAACCCCTCACTTCACCCCTTTACACCCCTATCCCCTTACCCATAACCCCTCACTCCACCCCTTTACACCCCTATCCCCTTACCCATAACCCCTCACTCCACCCCTTTACACCCCTATCCCCTTACCCATTACCCCTTCACTTCACCCCTTTACACCCCTATCCCCTTACCCATAACCCCTCACTCCACCCCTTTACACCCCTATCCCCTTACCCATAACCCCTTATTCTACCCCTTTACACCCCTATTAACTTACCCATACCTCCTCACTCCACACCTTTTCACCCCTATCCCCTTACCAATAACCCCTTACTCCACCCCTTTACACCCCTATCCCCTTACCCATAACCCCTCCCCTCACTTTACACCCCTTTACACCCCTATCCCCTTACCCCCCTTATAACCCCTATCCCCTTACCCATAACCCCTCACTCCACCCCTTTACACCCCTATCCCCTTACCCATAACCCCTCACTCCACCCCTTTACACCCCTATCCCCTTACCAATAACCCCTCACTCCACCCCTTTACACCCCTATCCCCTTACCCATAACCCCTCACTCCACCCCTTTACACCCCTATCCCCTTACCCATAACCCCTCACTCCACCCCTTTACACCCCTATCCCCTTACCCATAACCCCTCACTCCACCCCTTTACACCCCTATCCCCTTACCACTAACCACTCACTCCACCGCTTTACACCCCTATCCCCTTACCCATAACCCCTCACTTCAACCCTTTACACCCCTATCCCCTTACCCATAACCCCTCACACCACCCCTTTACACCCCTATCCCCTTACCCCTCACTCCACCCCTTTACACCCCTATCCCCTTACCCATATCCCCTTACCCATAACCCCTCACTCCACCCCTTTACACCCCTATCCCCTTACCCATAACCCCTCACTCCACCCCTTTACACCCCTATCCCCTTACCCATAACCCCTCACTCCACCCCTTTACACCCCTATCCCCTTACCCATAACCCCTTTACACCCCTATCCCCTTACCCATAACCCCTCACTCCACCCCTTTACACCCCTATCCCCTTACCCATAACCCCTCACTCCACCCCTTTACACCCCTATCCCCTTACCCATAACCCCTCACTCCACCCCTTTACACCCCTATCCCCTTACCCATAACCCCTCACTCCACCCCTTTACACCCCTATCCCCTTACCCATAACCCCTCACTCCACCCCATTACACCCCAAACCCCTCACTCCACCCCTTTACACCCCTATCCCCTTACCCATAACCCCTCACTCCACCCCTTTACACCCCTATCCCCTTACCCATAACCCCTCACTCCACCCCTTTACACCCCTATCCCCTTACCCATAACCCCTCACTCCACCCCTTTACACCCCTATCCCCTTACCCATAACCCCTCACTCCACCCCTTTACACCCCTATCCCCTTACCCATAACCCCTCACTCCACCCCTTTACACCCCTATCCCCTTACCAATAACCACTCACTCCACCCCTTTAATCACTTAGCCACCCCTTTACACCCCTATCCCCTTACCCATAACCCTTCACTCCACCCCTAAAACAATCTTGCCCCTCCACCATCCTTTTCCCCTCAGTAGCAGTCTTTCATCTCAGCAGTCCTCACTAAGAAATGATTTTCCTTTTTTAAAACTATGACTTTTTCCTTCATCCTTTCCCTTAAACTAGCCAATCCATTTACAATAAAATAATTTATCATTATTTAAGTCTTTTTCTCTAGAACCGCTGGTAACCACTTAACTACAATAGTAAACAATATATGATAACCACAAGGAAAGAAAATCACCAGCCGCTAAATCCAGCTTTTTACATTGATATACACTTGCCTATTACGGAATGAGTGATGGCATGGCTTTGTCTGGCTGGCTGTCTCTTCGGAACTATATTTCGTCCTGAGCAAAATCATTTCCTTGCTATTTTACTCATGTTCTCTGAACTTGTCATATTAACATTATGGATGTATGTTTTCTGAGAAGTCTGTAAATTCATCAGACTAGATATTACACATATATCCTGGTAAGTAGAGGGTTGCATGTCACATTCCGGCAAAATCCTGGGAGCTGAAGGTAATGTGTCATTTTCAGCAAATTTTAGTCTCACTATGGGAATTATAAGGGGCCATTTGATATGGTATTGAAAAAAATGGAAATACAGAGGGGTCAGCAATTGGTAGGCTATGTCTGTCTGTCTGTCCATCCTTCTATTGTCAGATGACTGTTAAGGGGCATGGTATTTTTTTTTTACTCTTGGACTATATCATGTTCAAATTGGTGTGTATCTTTGAAAATTGATTGAATGCCCATGTTCAAGTGGTAGTTCATTCAGAACATTTTAGAATTGAAGAAGTTATTGCCCTTTTTTCTTTTAGTGTTTTAAAGTCCAGAGATCTCATCTCTCAATTTTCAACTGATCTTTTTTGAAACTTTGTTGACTCTCTTGAAGTCCTGGCATGTGGTTGTTGTCATGATTTTGAGTTTTGACAAAATATTTGAGATTACGAATGATTTGTGCATCTGCGTGTCTGTGTATCTATAGAGCTTTTTTCTAGGCAAACAATTCCAAACTATTGAACCTGTTCCTATGTTTGTGCCCTAATTGTGCTTTTTACTTTAAATGAGATTTCATTTTAGATAATTTCTCTGTTACCATGGAAACAAAGTCGGAAATATAAGATTTATGCTCTGTAAATGCATACTATTTTTTCGGGCTACAACTTGAAAATGGTTTGGTTGGTTGATTTCTATATGCATTATACAATAACAATGAAAGACAAGGAAATTCTGCATCAAAAACTGAGTATGGTACTCACTGCGATTTAGGTTCAACAGCTTGACAAGAGGGGGGAGGAAGTGTGGAGAGGGGGGGGGGGGGGGTCTGGGTAATGCCATTGTGTGGCTCCTTTTTTATGGTTTTTCAGCATCTTGATCCAGTCTCCTCTTGAACAAATGCTTTGAAATTTAGGAGGCTTATATGTAAGGATTTGTTATTCTACATCTACATTTTTAAGCATTTCATACGTACTAATAGCACGTTTATGGTAAAATTTTTGTGGGGAATTATTTCTGTTGATTTTGTGGGTAATCTTAATCCGTGTAATTATATATTCACCAACTGTTAAATCTATTATAGGCAGATTTATTGAGCAATATTCTTCCATGAAATGAAGTGTCAATGAATTTTTTTTTTTTTTTTTTTTTGAAAACCACAAAAATTCCGCCATGCGAAAATATATGATTTTTATGTATATTCCTGTTTTGTTTTGCATTTTTTAAAATTTTATTTTGGGTGATAACAAATTACAACACATCAATATGTATCAAAATGCAGCATACCATTTTTGTCCTTTTCTTTGTTTTTTTTTTGGATAGCCATAAACGTCATTTACAAAAAGACGGAAATGGGATAAACTATGTTTGTCGATCCATTATGGCTCTACGTGGGATTTTAATTGATAAATTGTGATTTCCAGCCATGTTCTGATATATCAATGTGTCAAAATGCCTGCAAACAAGACAAGATTTTCATAAGCTACGTGATTCTAAATGCTGAAATATTGATTTTTCAATTCAAAGAAGAGCACCATATTTTGATTGATCAAGAGTCTGGCTGTTTCAAACGTGAGACTGATGGTTTCTTGGAGCTGGAGATAAAATCTTTGCAGTAAAAGTTGCATTGTTTCTTTTGCCATGTATATTTGCTGGTGGTTCATTGTCAGATTGTCAGAAATACTCAATTGTTTTATTCGTGGAAGAAGAAAGAGTGCTTTTGATTGTGTGATCATGTGACTGATAATTTAAAACAGGAAACCGAAAATTTCTCAGAATTTGAAAAATTAATGGATTTTACCATATATGTAAGATGTCACTGTCAAATCATATATCTTATAACTAAGTGGGGCTTAAATTTCGTAGTTTTCCTAAAATATACATTTTTGTTTGCAACTAATTTCATGGATAAACCTTTTTCACAAAATTCACGAGTGCTATAATCCACATCAACGTTCATCTATTTATTCCATTTCATGGACAGATATGTTTTAGGAATTACAGTATCCATAGATTGAACAAAAATAAATCCCCCATGTTGA